TCAAAACTCCTTGCTCCCTAGCGGGATAGCAGCAGTGGCAAGTGTTGGAAATTATCCCTTAGAGGTGCAGGAAAGCCTTTTCTCATATCTTTGTTTTTCTCTTCCTATAAGAAGGACTGCAGCATTCTTGCGGGGAGACCCAAGGGGAAGGATTATGGGTCTGGCTTTTATACCTTTTAATTTAACAAGACAAATCACAAATGTCAGATAATACTGGCCTCTATAGGCATGGCAAGAATTGTTAATATGTACTCAGCTGCTAACTAAAAGGTTTGAGCCTACCCAGAGGAATCTCCAAAGGAAGGTCTGGTCATCCACTGAAAAATCAGCCATTGACAATTTGTGGAGAGTACCGTTCTACTCTATCACAAAAAGAGTTACCATGAGTCAGAATGAATTCTTTAGCAACTGTCTTTACAGGAGGTGAAGCTCAGTACCTGTGGGCCCTTTCCCCTTACACTCTAACTGTACCCTCTCTCCAATTCTCCTGTGTTACAAGATTTTGTGTCCGGCCATAGCCCTAGGGATGGGACGTTCAAATAGGTTTAAAAATCCACAGCACTCTGGGAGAGCAATGTGAATTGTCCTTAGTTACCTTCTTTTCTTCTGTGTGATTTAGTTAAAGAACTGCACTTAAGAATAGGACTACTACCTGAGGAAGGTTTTGGGTAAGGAATCCCAGAATCCCTCTCTCTCTCTACTAAGCTCCTTCTGCTGCTTCTTAGTGAGTGTGGCATATCCTCTGGTCTGAGTGGTAAGATCCAGGCTGAGATCTGATCTTCAAGTGGAATAGGCAGAAGAGGCTATTTGATTGTCTTGATTCCAGAACATTCTAGTTGATCAAATATAGAAGGAAGAAAAGCACCATCCTTAACTCACAGGAGCTTCCCACTGCGTTTGGAGAAAATATCAATAATTTCCTTTGTTCTGTCTGTGTACATAACTTAAGGCCTTTCAGGGAGGTCACCTGGTCAAATCTATCTTCTTTGTACATCAGCATTCCCAGGAGACAGTGTGTGACACAGTATGTTTGCCATCAAGGAGAATATAAACATGATGGTGAAATACAAACATCTAAATTATTTACAGACTGTGATACTGAAATTCCTAAAATAGTAGGAACTGTTTGTAACTCCGGAACCCTGTTCTCACAGAAAATATCTTCATAAGTAGTTTAGGTCCCAGGACTAGGGCATATAACCTCATATAGCCCTTGAACTACTTATATTATTATAATAATTTGTTTCTATTAAGTGCTGTGGAGTCAGTTCTGACTCATAGTGACCCTGTGTAAGGTTTCTGAAGAGCAACTGGTGAGTTTGAACCGCCAATCTTGTGGTTAGTATGCAAGTGCTTATCCTGCAACGCCACACCAGGACTCCATTGTGACAACGTTGTTATTGTTGTTAAGTACCCTTGAGTCGGTTCTGACCCCTAGCAACCTTGCATAGTGTTTCTGAGGAGCAGCTGGTGAGCTTGAACCCACCATCTTGCGGTTTAAACCAACTGTGCAATCCAACACATTAAGTACAGTGTTCACACCAAGACTCCATTACAATAATTATTATTGTGGTGTGCTGTTGAGTCAGTTCTGACCCATAGCAATCCTGTATAGCGTTTCCAAGGAGCAGCTGGTGAGCTTCAGCCCCCGACCTTGCAGTTCAAACAGCTTTGCAGTCTGGCACATTGACCCACAGTGCCACACCAGGACTCTGTTTATAATAATTGTTGTTGTTGTTAAGTGTCGTGGAGTCAGTTCAGACTCATAGTGTCCCTGCACAGGGTTTCCGAGGCTGTAAATCTTTACGGGAGCAGAACTCCTCATCTTTCTCCCGTGGGACCGCTGGTAGTTTCAAACTGCTGACCTTGAGGTTGGCAGCCTGACTCGTAACCACTATGCTACCAGAGCTCTCTGTTATAATAATAGTACTACTTTAATTATGGCAGATCCTTTTTTTATAGCAAAAGTTTATTTTAGTGAGAAAATTCATGTTGGGCTTCTACTTGTCATGTCTGAAACATACCTCCCCTAAGGGTATAGAATATGAGGGGAGTTAGAAGAAACATAAGTGTTGAGGCAGTTGGTGGTTATGATTAGTAGTAACTAGACATAAGACCCCCTTCCCTGTCTATTTCCCAGCACCTTAACACGTACACAAGATAACCCATTCCTCCCCTAGAACACATGCATGAGACATGCAAACATGAACACATGCAAACATCCTTTTGTTAGAATTAGGTCATAAAAATTAGTTTTTTTTTTTTTCTTTTTAGGTCATAAAAATTCATTTTTTTAAGCTTTATTGTAAATTGAGTGGTAGTTTACATGGGAAAACATCAGTTTTGCACTCATCCTATTGTGTTTTGTTTCTCTGCAATGATGACAATCCCCTCCATGCATCTGCATTTGACAGTATTTGTTTTTATCCCCTCTGTTGTTTTTGATGTGTACAAAAACACTCAGGAATATATTATCATTTAAACAACCATTCTGCAAGTCAACCTCCTGGCCACCAGCACACAGCATTTCTCATTCCATCAGTCTAGAGTCCTCAGCCACTCTCTCTCTTTTCATGCCATTATCTCTGCCTCATCTCTGGTGTAGCTGCTTCTCTGTTTAGGATCCCATGTTTTGCTCATGCTCTTCTCCCTTGATGGTCCTAGGGTCCTCTGTTCCTGGAATGTAAGATTAATTACTCCCTACCTTTATGTTACAAAACTTCTACCTTTACAGTTGTGACAACTGCAATTAGTCATGATAACAGTTACTCACTATTGAATCAAAAGAATTCTATCCCTATCTCCTTTCACCAGACCTATCTAGACAAGATGAAAACTATTCAGTGGGTATTCTATGTTTCCCTGCACACTCTGAAACTAAATTTCTTCTTGAAAACTTGTAAGCCAGCCACTTCAAGCCTTTATAGCCCCCCATTTTAGGTAGCCAATGTCTAAGTTACCCATCCCTATGAATCCGGTGTATATAGAGGATAGGCTTGATCTTTGATGTGAAGACTCCTTCCCTCTTGGTTGGTATTTTGAGCTACTACATACGTAAGTATAGGTCAAGTTCATCAAATTGTAGCAATTTATACTTACTTCCTTTAGTAATTCTTTGAATTACTTATAATTAAGTTTCCTGATCACTGTTCACAAATGATGGGTAATAGGCAATTTTTGTTCTCACTACAATGAGTAAAATCTGCTTCTTGCCCTTCAAATGAAAACAAAGAGTTTATTTCCCCCTTAGGTAGGTAGACACTTATTCTCATACTGTAATTTATTTCTTTTATGTCCTGTAGACACAGGGTCAATATGACTCAGAAACAACTCAGTGGCACTTAACAAAAACAGATAACAACAGATAAGTTGTAAATTAAGTAGGTGATTGGAGGTTGATCTGGTAATCCATATATCATTCATATGTATATAATCAATAACCTGAAAGTTAGCTGCATTGTAAAACTAGAGTAAAACAATCACTGAACCTTGATTAGTTTGCATTTGAATCATATAATTGTTGAACACTTATGCTTTCTAAATACATGTTTGAAAGAATACTGAGATTTTAATGTACACTCTAGCACCAGTGTGTCAGTATTCCCAAGTAATTAAGTTATTCCCTGTGAGGAGGCAGAGGAAGTTTTCAAAACGTTAAATCTCATGTTGGGAGGTACGATCCTTGTGGGAGATATCTTTTAATTTTTGAATCATTCTGTTTCTCTTAGAAGAGCAAGATTAGAATCAAGAAAGCTGTCCCAAGCCAATCTCATTTCTTTAGGACTCCTGGTGTGGCACTGTCATACAAGTACTATACTGAAACTAGAAGGGCAGAACTCCAAACACGCAGGGTTGCTATGGTGGCACTTAACAACAATCTCATTTTTAGGGACCTCATGTTTAGAATCATGACTGTTTTCTTCATTCGCATCATTAATACTCATCTGACAGTTGTCATTATCCATGATCTTGGTCTTCCTTAAAAAAATGGGTCATCAAGATGCTCTGTGTTTTTTCTCTTGCTTATTTATTATAGCCCTGACCATTGTTTTACCTTATTCCACATTGCTTTCTATCTTACTAAGCTACTTACTGGAGGAAATTGTGGAGAGACACTGATTTTAACCATTGTTGTTGTTGTTATTAAGTGCCGTCGAGTCGGTTCCGACTCATAGCGACCCTGTACGGGGTTTCCGAGGGTGTAAATATTTACGGGAGTAGAAAGCCTCATTTTTCTTCCATGGAGCAGCTGGTGGTTTCGAACCACTGACTTTAAGGTTCGCAGCCCGATTCGTAACCACTATGCTACCAGAGCTCCTTGATTTTAACCATTATTAAACATTAAATGTCTCAGGGTTTTTAACATTAAAAGTCTGAAAAAAATCACACTGTTTTTTAGCACTTAGCACAATGCTTGACATGACCTGGCATCCAGTAAATGAATATTAAGAGAATACTGATGAATGAAAAAACAGTCATGATTCTAAACTTGAGATACCTAATAATATTACAATATAGTAGCTATGTAATGGTATTTGAGACAGATCAGAAGTATGGCTTAATACATGCAGAACTCGATCCAGGTTGCAGTGTTATCTTTAACGTTTTTTGGACCAAGGTCATAAAAGTGAGAAAGTGACATGACCATCAGAGATAGAGATACTTGTTTAGTATAAGCCACCACCACCCCTCTTCCAAGAATCTGCCACGACTGTACCTACGCTCCATATGTGTCAATGTAGCCAAGTCTAATTTCCTTCTGTTTTTAGGGTTTCTTTCTTTTCCAATATTTATCTTTTGGAGAATAGAAAGACTTGCATTTCCTTCCCCAAAGCAGTATTTCTCAAAGCAATACTCAGCAGAAAAATCAATCTTTCAAATATTTTAAGTGGAGATAAGTCAAGAATACTTTACTGAAACCATTGGAAACAACCACAGCATGAGAGCAAAACCTCTAGCATGGCTCTGCTATTTTCACCACTGTGCTATTCTAATTACAGGGAAAGCTGAACATCCCATTGGTGAATCTGACCTACAGTGGGCAGCCATGGCATTGCCAGCATTCTTTTCTCTTGTAGTTGGGTTTGCATTTGGAGCCTTCTACTGGAAGGTAAGTGCTGCTATACTTTTTCTCCCTGGATCAACAACTCTTCTGACCTTTACACATTTATTTGTTCATACAATATTTACATAAATGATTAACAAATAAAGCATTCTTTCTGGAGAAAGAATTCTACCAAGAAACAATGAGTCTAACCTTAATTTGTAGCCCCAACAAAATTTAAATCTCACATTGATTTTTTTCCCCATTCCTCATCATACTTTGGAGCCAACTCCTCTGAGAATACACACTTAAGAAATGGGAAGTGGAACTTCCGGTTTGGGGGTGGAGGAAGCGAAAGAGACTAGAGACTCAGGAAAGTCTCTTTGGTGGAAGCATGGAAAAGCCAGAGGAAAAAAAAAAAACGCTTTGCCAGGACAATCCCAGAGCTTTAAAGTCAATATAAAGTAAGGGGCAGTAATTTCGGAGGCCTACGTGTGGAGAAATCTAATGAAACTAGAAGGAACCCCGAGATTTCTGAATCAATTGAGACTCTTCCTCTGATGCACAGTGTTGGTGGAGGTTAGAGGCAGACCCACAGCCAGTAGCTAGGGAGCAAAATCCACCCAGCTATTTATGGAAAAAGAGTTGTGATTTTTTTTTTTTTTTTCTTCAACTCCTGTGCTTCGCCCTGTCACACCCTCTCTGCCCAGCACAGGTGTTTTCACTCCAGTGGGAGCACACCCCCAAAAGGGTCCGGCATTGCCCACATAGGGCACAAAATTTTCCCACGGTGCAAAGTTAGCCAAAAGTCCAGAGGCTAATCCTCCAGAGGATTCTTAAGAAATCTGACTGTGGGATTCAGCCAGGAAGTTGGCTCTCTTACTTAGGCGGGAACTTGATTATTCCTGCCTTATGTAATAAGGGACAGCAAGTCTGGCCATACAACCAAGAAGTATTTGCATGATCTAAAACCCCAACAAGAACCAACACCAACTACAATATACAAGATCAGTGTGTAAACCCAACACCTGTTCAAAACACACTAAAGGGAGAAGGACATTGTGGATATGGAAAGACCTAACCAATCATCAGAGAAAAATGTGTGAACAATCTTTCTTCCACTCATTTCTCATTCTCTGTCTGTGCACCCCCCACTGTGATGACTAGAGGGGGTGCCAGTTTAAATGGACACACCCACCCACCCCTCAAGGTTTCCGCTGTGCATGCACACTGATCTACTCAGAAAAGAAAACTGCACTAATTTGCTACGGGTGTTTTGTTGTTGTTTTCTATTGCTTTTTTTACTTTGTTTTGTTTTATATTTTGGTTTTACTTTTGTTTCTGTTTTTTGCCTTTTTGGTCCTATGTTTTTCCTTGGGGTGAGACCTTTCTCTCCCTACATTACCCAAGAAGAGACAGCAATCGTGACCACATAGCCAAGCTACAAGCATATCCTATAATATCCCACCATCTGGGTAGGAGCCAATACCAGGTGCTACACATTACATACCCAGCACTTGCTAAGACTACTTGCAGTTGAGTAATATGAGACATGAAAAGGGAAACTTATCTCCCGAACACATCCACAAGGAGGCACTCAGTAGGCTTAATAATACATCAAAATACACTCATTTAATCATTTAAAACACATCTAACTATTGAAAATGTCCAAGAAACAACAAAAGATCTTGGCACGAGTCCAGAAACAGAAAAGAGTAACTGAGACAAATGAGCTGGAGGTAGGCATAGACTTCCCTTTATAAGAAGAGTAAGCTTTGGTTCTGCCTGAGAAGGAATTCAGGAATGATATGGAGACAAATCCAAATGCTTCAGAGATGGGTGGAGGAAAATATGGAAGAAGTCAGGAAAGTGCTACAGGAGCAATCACATAAGATAGATAATAGCATTGGAAACAATTCAAAACCTACAAAAAGAGGTCCAAATAGTTGATAATAAAATATCAGAAATGAATAATACACTGAAAGGGCAAAGGAATAGAATTGAAGAAATAGAAGCCAGAACCAGCAATCTGGAAGACAAATCTCTCAATACTGCTAAGATAGAAGAGCAAGCAGAAAAAAAGGATAAAATGTACTGAAGAGAATCTAAGATTCATTCATGTTGGACAACATGAAGAGGAATAACTTAAGAATTGTTGGCTTTCCAGAACAGGAAGAATCACAGAAGTCCACAGAGTAGATAGTTGAGGAGCTTCTGTAAGAAAATTTCCCTAATATCTTGAAGAACAAAAAGATAATTATTCAAGAGGCCGAACGAACCCCAAGAAGGATAGACCCCAAAAGAAAATCACAAAGACATATCATAATCAAGTTCTCCAAAATCAAAGACAAGGAGAGACTCCTAAAAGCAGCCAGGGAAAAGAGAAGTGTTACTTACAAAGGCAAACCATTCAGATTAAGCTCTGATATATCTTAGTAGAAACCATGCAGGCAAGAAGGCAGTAGGGAGACATATATAAAACCCTAAAAGACAAAAACTGCCAACCAAGAATCATCTACCCAGCAAAGCTGTCAATAAAATATGATAGTGCAATCAAAACATTCCAGGATGAACAGAAGCTAAGAGTCTTTCTGAAATCCAACCCAGTCCTTCAAAACATCCTAAAGGGAGTTCTTTGGATTGAAAACCAGCATGAACAGTCAACAACCAAAGATTGACATACGTGGCAACGCCAGCGGGGTAGGGGAGGGCGGGGTGAGAAGTGGACGGCAGAGCACAAGGCAGGGGATAGACACATCACAGTTCGGGTGTTCGATTAGACAATATACAAGAAGGGGGAGGGAGACAGAAGAACAAGGTTGATAAGAGAACACTTAGGCAAGTTTGCATGGGCTAAATGGAACAGAGGTAAATAGTGATGTGTGCTCAGCCTTGAAACAAAAGGGCCCTGTGATACAGGCATTGAGGCATAGTCTGAATGGGTAAAAGAGGGGAAATACTGTTAAGATGCTTGACTGTTTTATGAATATTTGTTTCTCTTTCCTACTATTATAAAATAGGTACTTGAGGGGGATAGAAAGGAATATCTGGAAACATGATTATAGAAAGCTTGGAAGTCGGCCTTTAGCCTATAACTGATTAGAATACCTAAAAGGGATGCTAGACCTTGCCCAGTGAAAGAGGCTTTCTGTGGAATTTTTGTAGGGTATAACCTTAGGTGGAATCCTGATCCCCATCAAGAATCTTCTGAGATGGGTAATTCCCACTTGAAAAGACAAGCAGACCAGCCTGAAGCAACTAGAGGAACAGAAGACACTTTTTGAAATGAAGACCAGCAGGGAAAAACAAAAACAAAAGTGGCAGGTCCGAATGGCTACTGCAAGAACAAACAAGTTCACCAGGGAGCCTTCAAGGCAAGCAATCAAGTCCCTTCAGGACAAACCCCCTCAAAAGACTGAAACTCAAAGGGCATATACAAGCAGGCATGTAAGCTTGCTGGAAACCACGTTGGTCTACTGGTGAGAGGAAGTGAGGGGAAAGCAGCAATGAAGAGATGGGCTGTGCTCCACCAAGTTACATAGACCCCCATCGACCTGGAGTATGTTGAAAGCTGATTGGTCTGAAGTACAGTGAGATGTGCGGACACCTGAGCCCTTGGAAAAGGACATGGTCATGTAGGGCTAGAGCTGAGAGTGAAGCGTCCAGTTAATATGTAGTGAGGAGATACGTACAAGGGTGCCTAAACTTGCAGATAGTGCTCATTGGACCTAGCTTCAATGGCTGGAAGTTAAGAACCCAACTAGCGGAAGGAAAAGAGGAAAATTAATTTTTTTTTAAAAGAAAACTAGTGTAAATAACTACAATCTGATGTACTTGACCTATACTTAATGGATATAGTAGCTTTAAATACCAATCAAGAGGGAAAGAATCTTTATAGCAAGGACCATCCTCATCCCCTCTGTACACAGGGTTGATAGGGATGGGCAACTTAAGACATTGGCTACCTAAAATGGGGCGAAAGGGGGCTGTAAAGGCACGAAGTGACTGGCTTACAAGTTTTCAAGAGGGAGTTTAGATTCAGAGTGTCCATGGGAAGGTAGAATCCCCACTGAGTGGTTTTCATCCTGTCTAGACAGGTCTGGTGAAAAAAGATGGGGACAAGATTCTCATGATTCAATAGTGAGTAATCGTTATCATGACTAATTGTGATTGTCGCAACTATAAAGGTAGAAATTTTGTAGCAAAAGGGATGGGTGGTTGATCTTACAGTCCTGGAGTGGAGAACCCTGGGACCATAAGGGAGAAGAGCAGGAACAGAGTGTGGGACCCTACCCAGAGACGGAGACAGAGATGATAGCATGGAGAGATGGAGCAGTTGAGAACTGTAGACTCATGGAGGGAGAGGGGATGTGTGCTGGTGGCTAGGAGGTAGGCTTGCAGGGTGTGCCCTCTTATGGTCTGAATGACTGTATATTCCTGGTTGTTTAGGTGCACATCCAAAAAAACCCAAACAACAGAGGGAGTAGAAACAAATACTGTTGAATGATGAAGCATGCAGTGTATTGTAATCATTGCAACGAAACAAATACAATAGGATGAGTATAAAACTGATGTTCCCCCATGTAAAACTATCACTCAATTCACAATAAAAACTTTAAAAAGAAAAGAAATGGGAACTGGATTAAATAGCCTAAGCTAAATATAAAAAGGAAGAAAAGATGCTGAAAATTGTAGCATGTGCTTAAATGCCAACTAGAAATGCCACTCCATTATCTGTTATTTTTAATATTTAAAAAAAAATGTTTGAAGAATTTTTAAACTTTTTTCCTTCTCATTGACACCTGTCAAAATTTGTAAATGTGCTACATCATCGTGACTCAACTCCTTGAATTCGATTTTGATTACGATTCAGATCTGGCAGTTTCTTTGTTACTTTCCTATATCTAACATCCTAAAAATGTTGAGCCAGGAATGCCATGCAGTTTCATAACTTTTTTGTTGAAAAAGATTCTGTATGCTGCATGCTGAAAAACATTACTGGAATTATTAATATAAAAAAATCAAAACTTGAGATTATTTACTTATTAAATATTACACTGTTCATTGAGATTTTTATAGTTTATGTCATTCTTCTTTTCCCAGAAGAAACAGCCAAGTCTTACCAGGGCAGTTGAAAATGCACAGATCAGTGAAGAGGATAATGAGATAAGGTATTTTGTTGTGCTAAATGTACGTGTAAATAAGTTTGATGTCGTTATTTTGCATACTGTGCACATGAACTTGGTTGGTTGCTTGATTATATGCTGTGGAGTTGGTTCTGACTTGTAGTGACCCCATATAGTGTTCCTGAGGCTGTAAAAAACAAAAACAAAAAAACAGGAGCAGAGAGCTTCATCTTTCTCCCTCAGAATAGCTGGCAGGTTCCAACTGCTGTCCTTGAGGTTGGCAAACTAACTTGTAACCGCTGACTTGTAACCACTACATTACCAGAGCTTCTTATTTATAAAATCTCTCTGTCTCTCTTCAGTCTTACATCTGCATTTATCTGTAGGATACCTTTATATATTTGTTTTCATGGCTCTTCTTAGGGAATCAGAAGGTGGTCATCTCTGCCTCCTTTACTTCTGTAAGCAGCAGCCTTGCTTGCTCAGTCTCAAGGCAGGTTGGATTATTCTCATTTTCCATACCATTCAACGGCATTTAACAATAACAATCAGACACATATTGGTTATATTTTCAGACTTCCTTCCCAAGCTTAGCTCTTTCTTTGGTAACAGTCATTGTCTTTGTCCAGCTTTGCCACATTCTTTCTTAAAGCATGGTTCCTAATGACACATCCTGTCACTACTTTCAGTGATTTCTCTGTTACCTATTTATAATTTTGCTTTGCTCTGGCTTTCAGAGTCATTAATTGTTCTCAATGTATTTAGTATTTACTCCACAAACAAGTTTTTAAAAATTGTAGGAAGCCCATCCATTTAGTGTAGCTGACCCTGATCGAGTGTTTACCTTATTCTGTATAGTAGAGTCCTGGTGTGGCGCTGTGGCCTAATGCATCAGACTGCAAAGTCGTTTCATCTGCAAGGTCGGTAGTTCAAGCTCACCAACTGCTCCTTGGAAACCCTATATGGGGTCACTATGGGTCGGAATCAGCTCAACGGCACTTAATAACAACAACAACATATTGCCCTAGCAACACCATTTTTGTTTACATTCAGTTATAATTTTTATTGGACATGTTACTCTCATATCATCCCTACATATTAAATGCACACTGGCATTTTTAGTATGATTATGTACATATGCAGACAAAATTTAAAACTATTTGGAAAGACTGTTGCGATAGACACCATTTTCCACAAAGTATGATTTATGAATGTATGCGTTCCACTCAGTTTTGCAACCTTTGCAATTGGATTTATCAACAACAACAATGTCTTTTAAAATGCCAAGATCACAGTGTACTTCAGAATTTATGCCCAAAAGCGAATAAGCATTTTTCTTGTTGTTTTTCAGTATGTTGCAAGAAAAAGAGAGAGAATTTCAAGAAGTGTAATTGTGGCTTGTATCAACACTGTTGCTTTCGTACATTGGTAAGTTTTTAGAATTCAAACAAAAATACTTAAGGGGAACTATACAGCATCTTAAAGGAGCTCTGGTAGTGTAGTGGTTACGAATCAGGCTGCAAACCTCATGGTGAGCAGTTCAAAACTACCAGCTGTTCCACGGGAGAAAGATGAGGCTTTCTGCTCCTGTAAAGATTTACAGCTTTGGAAACCCTGTACAGGGGCTCTATGAGTCAGAACCAACTCCACGGCACATAACAACAACAACATACAGCATCTTGGGGGCCATACTTTAGAAACAAAGTATTATGAAGCCTATGATGAAGCAGATGTCACTATGTTCTAAAGCTGTTACATAATTGAACTGTGTGTATCTAATTCATTATATGCATCTCTAGTTTTGAACATTAAGCAGTGGTAGTCCTGATTAATGGATTCATCCTGTATTGAAGTTATACAAAATCAAAACAAAACAGTTTAGTGTTTATTTATAGCATTTTTTATACCAGAAAATAAATTAGAGCAAATTAGCACTAAAATAAAATAGTACTGGAATAATGAATTTTATTCGAGCATTACCCCTGAAGAGAAGAAAAACAGTATAATACTGGCTGTTAATTTGGTAACTACTCCTGAAATCCCCAGTACATTTAACCTCAGTGGTATACAGATGTTCTCTCCTCTTCCTAAATCCACAGTTCTTCTCTGGCCTTCCTCATTGACTCTTACAGATAATTACAGGTGCAGTGGGTCTGAGGGCAGCTCTGCCTTCTACTGTCAGTTTACTTCTGCCTCAGATTCAGAGATTTGTCTCCAGAGCTGAGCCTTCCCCCAGGGAAGCTGAGCCTTAATAGTTTACTTCTTCATTGATTCCCTTCTAGAGTAATGCTGCTTTGTTGTTGTTGAATGCCTTCGAGTAGATTCCACTTCAAACCCGTAGAGGATTTCCAGTATAAGAGCAGCTGGTGGTTTTAAACTGCTGACCTTTCAGTGCTGATCTGATGATCAGGACTCTTTTATGGTTATAAAACACCATTTTTCAATAACCTGGAATAACGTAATGTGTAGTAATTGTTGTTGTTAGCAAGCATCATTGAGTTGGTTAACAAGCATCATTAACATTGGTTAACAAGCATCATTGAGTTGGTTCTGACTCAGAGCTACCCTGTATAGGGTTTCTGAGAAGCAGCTGGTAGGTTTGAATTGCCGACCTTGTGATTCATGACCCAGTGCTGATCCTATTGCCTTCCCAGGAGACTGTAATAACTAGGTTGATTATTTCTCCAGCACCTTATTCCTGTGTGTCCTACTTCATCATTCTTATCAGCAATCATGTTCTTGATAACTGTGTCCAATGAATACCATTCTTTGCACTATCATTTTCATTTTCTGAGTTAGTATTCCTGAGCTGAAATAATTATTTTTTCTAGAAACCCATGTTTCTGTTCTTCAGCCCTAAAACAAGCCACCTCGTTTCATTCCTAGCTGCTGTTTGGGTTCCCTTTCAACCAGACTTCCACAAATTACACATAAAATGGTTAATTGAGTCTTATAGGTTCAAGTCATGTCCTGTCCTCTGGTGTTTGTTTTGGGATTGTATTGCAGAAATCCTAATTTGGCATGCAGGCTTCTAACCCTGTGGCTTTCAATTGTAGCATTCGTCTTGTGGCCTTTGGAGAATACATTATGATGGGAAAAATCCAGACCAGTTGTTTGGGTTTTATTTTTTATTATTCACATTAACTGACAGGAAAAATGAGCCTGTAGAAAAACCAGGATGGGGAGCTGAAAAAGGAGAAGAGTTTTTTCATACGTTGGACAAAAGCATGATTACTGACAAAAATGATGAAGTCTGGCACAACAGGAATGAAGTATTAGATAAATAAGCAACCATAGTCAAGCAGCCATCCATGGACAGGCAATTTGTGCTTATGCCTATTGGTCAGGTAGTGTTGGAGAACAGAAAGTGGGTTTGTCTGGTTCTTGCTAGGTGTCCAACAAGAACCAGACAATGATGCCTGAACATGTAGACTCTCAGTAAGTGCTTATATTCAATGAGTGAATGAAGGAACTCTAAATGAGGGCACCTTCTATTGAGGGACTGCAAAGGTATGTGTGTGTGTGCTGATTTTGATCAATAAGACAACAAGGTGTACAAAGCAAGAGAAAATACCGTCACATGGGAAGGCTGTCTTTATTTTTCTCATCATATGAAATATTACTTATGTAGACAAAGAATCAAATTGGACATATGGGTTAAAGAAGTTTAGCATTGTTCAGAAATGAACTTACTACTCACGTATTTACTGAGTTGTCAGTTTAGAATTGATTGTGTAATGAAAGAAAATGTGAGTATACTCATTCATACTCATCTCTGCATAGCCTTCTCAAAGCTCAGCTCAGATGACACCCTCTCCAAAAAGCTGACTACAAATTAATCTCTGTTTTGGTGGTGGTGGTAGTTATGTGCTGTGAAGTTAGTTCCAAATCATAGCGACCCTGCATAGGGTTTCTGAAGCTGTAAATCTTTACACGAGCAGAAAGCCTCATCTTTCTCCTGCAGAATGACTGGTAGTTTTGAACTGCTGATCTTGAGGTTAGCAACCCGACTTGTAACCACTACCCTACCGTAGCTCCTAAGTCTCTATTTATGGCTCTCTGTGGAGTCCTGTTGTAGTGCTGTGGGTTAATGCACCGGACTGCAAGGTTGGTTCGAACTGCAAGGTCAGTGGTTCAAACTCACCAGCTGCTCCTCAGAAACTCTATACAGGCTCACTGTGGGTCAGAACTGACTCTATGGCACTTAACAGTAATAACACAGTGGCATTGTGGACTCCTGGTGTAGCACTGTAGAGTTAGCACTGGGCTTCGAATCACAAGGTCAGTAGTTCAAACCTATCAGCTGCTCCTGTGAGTCGTAACCAACTCGATGGCACTTAACAACAAACAGTGCTGTGGGGAACACAGTGGCTCTATATGACAAACACGGGCCTAGAAACCACAAGGTCGGCAGTTCAAGCCACTCTGCAGGAGAAAGACGTGACGTTCTGTTCCCACATTTCATGAGTTTTTACTAAAAATTTGAAGAATCATTATAAACATTCTAGTTTTCATTTTATGGGAAAAGTTATCATCAGCTTTCAAGTTTATTTTCTTTGCTAAGTGATCCAGGAACAAAGTCAGAAATAGATTTCCAGTCATTACTTCTCTATCTTGGATGAAGGTTACAAGTTCAAATTATTCTCTAACACACTGCCATTGAGTAGATTCCGACTCATCGTGACCCAATGTAAGGTTTGCGAAACTGTAAATCTTTATGGGAGCAGACATCCTCCTCTTTGTGTTAAGCACTACCACAGCTCCTTAAAGTATTCCATAGTTCTTTATTTAAAAAAAAAAAAAAATCCTTTTGTGTCTTGTAATATTCTCTTTTCTTTTTAAGGTTTATTTTTTTTAAAAATGTCTGCTTTGTATTTTGGATCTCTGACGTTTTCTCTTAATGCTACTTTGTTTTTCTTTCTAGATTTAATTCTACTTTCTGTGTATAGACTTTCCAGTTTCTGGAGTTCTTTGTTTGGTAACTTTTGATGTAGTTAGTTCTTAGGATTTAAAATTTAGAGACACTCAGGGAAAAATGCTGCCCTTCTTGTTACTCAGATGGTAGAATTCTATACAGAACCTATGTAATGATCTGTAATGATCTAGGCTGTTTTAAACCACTGGTCTGGATTCTGGTTTTGATAAAGAAGCCAAAGTTATGAAAAGTTTTTAAGTGAGTTCAGTAATAAAAGAAAAGCAAAATGTCCATGTATTAAGGGGCTATGATTAAAGATCAAATGACACTATATTTAATGAAAAGTTGATGCAGAAATACATATTCTTTATATATAAAAGTTGACAATCTGAAAGCTGCATCCAGAACCCTGGTTTAACACCATTCCTGAAGCACTAAATCAAAGTATGGCTTTTATTCTTCAACAAGTACAATAAGCTAGGCTGAAGCCAAATGAACCTCCCTGAAGGCTTCTACAGGATCTGGTGCCAGGATTGTAGTCTTCCCTTCTTTGACTGCAGACTTGGATGAGATCTTACTGCTGCTATTTCATCAGAGAACGTGATTTCTCAAACCCTACAAGATAAAATTTAAGATAGTACAACTTCTCAGTGACCGATTTCTCCACTTGTCCCAATATCTCTCTTCTGCCATTGCATCCATCTATGAGGGCCTTTTAAAAGTCCAAAGAGAAATTGTATCATCTTTTAGTTCCATTTTTCCATGAACTTTTTGAAGCCTCCTCATACTTCTCAATTCTCCAGCCATTTACTGCCTTTGTTACCCTCTCTCTCATCATCATTTATATACTTCCTTTTTGTAGTCTTTTTAGATATCCTTTTATCATCCAATGCAAATTGAGAAAATTGATACAATACCTTCAGGCGTGAATGCCACATGTTTTTATTCATCCATTCTTTCATTCAGTACATATTCACTGAATGCCAGTTAAGGGCCTGGTGTGACTGTATGATCAGCACTGGACTATGAACCACAGGGTTGGCTGTTCAAACCCTCCAGCCCCTCCTCAGAAACCCAGTGCATGGCCACTATGGGTAGGAATCAAGTCGACAGCACTTAACAACAATAATTATGTGTCAGAGACTGGTCTAACTATTGGGGTATAGCAGGAAACAGTATAGTCATAGTTTCCTACTCACATGCAGTTTACATTTTAATGAGAAAAGATGGATAATAAATATGATGATGGTAAGTGTTTTAAAAGCAAAACAATGAGAATATATGACAGAAAGTAACAAATAGATCACTGTATCTAGAAAAAAACTGTATCAAATTCATTTAGACTGCATAAATGAGGCATGTATTGAAAGTCTATTATTATTCACTGCATAATCATATTAATTCAGTGACTGAGAATGTAAAGGGAGATTACAGGCATGCCATAATCGTTCTGTTTTTCTCCCTTCTGTCTAGGCGGGTAACAGTTCATGTTTGCTTCATAAATGAAGCAGCTTAAAACAAATTCATATTCTGTCTGGAGTGACAGACCACATCTTTATCTGTTCTTGCTACCCATGACTCTAAAAGGATGATTCAGAAATTGGAGCAAAGAGTTTTACTGCAAAACTGGCACTGAATTAATCATCTATAAAGAAGAACTTGCATGGAGCAGCACTCTATTTTAAGGACCTGGGGGACTTGCGGTCTCATTTAAAATCTGCGACTGATGTTGGGAAAGAAAGCCCGTGTCCAAGACTGCACGCACCATTTGCATGCCCCCAGAAATGTCTAATTGCTGAAAAACCTTATAGCTTTATTTTTCATTTACAACCTGCAGCCATAGTTAACCTGGTCTCTGCAAGTAGATTTCAGCCTGGATAGTGGGGGTAACAGTGTTTTTCTCAAAAAATTTTTTTTAAAACCAAATGAAAACTCAATTGCATCGGCCACTGTACAGTATGGAAAGCAGTGGGACCTAAGTGGTAGGAGTAGGCAGCAAGTCACCTTGTAGCTGATGAGTTAGTGACAGGTCTGATCTTGTTCTCTTCTTTACATAAACCATGCTTACCCACATAGCACTCAACAATTAGACCTGGCTGATCCTGTCCAGGGAAGGGAGCCAGGAATGGACTAGAGCAATGAAATCTTTGAAGAATGAAGAACCTCTGAAGAGTAAACTCATGAAGAAGCTATGAACGCAACAGCAGAAATGACACTTGGCACCCCTGGTGAAGTCTGCCATTTCCCTTGACAACTATAGAGTGTAAAATCATGTCTGCAAAATATATTACAAAACATTTATATTCTAAAACTATTACTGAGTTGTATAAGCAGATTTAGGAGAAAATAGTGAATGTATGAAGGTTCCGTTTTAAATTTACACCATGGGAGAGTGAAAATAAATTATGATGTCTTGTATCTAAGGTTAGAAAATCACACCCACAAGATTTATATGGGTGTTGAAAACTAGGTTACTTGACTTTTAAAGAACGCCAGAATTTCAGAAACTTTAGTTATTTGTCATATAATCACCATTATCTGTTTAAAGGATCCATTTATTTAAATCAGGCACTCTATTATATTCATTAAGGTTTATGAATTTATGAATATAAAAAATAAACACAGAGAGAGCTTTATGTAGTTGTGCATGTCAGTTTGCTATTTAAAATGTGTGACAGCGTTTGCATATTAAAAATGAATTTGGCAAGAATTCTCAAAACGGACACTGTGCTTTTCATCTAGTGCTCTTAAGCGATTATGTGAATTCCCCTTGCCAACTTTTTTATAGTCAAAGAAACATCTGACTAAAGTCAAAGAATATTTTCTTATGGTTTATTGTGATGAAGTTTCTTTTGCTATAACATAAACAAATATAAGAATTCAAAACTTTCCAGTCTAATTTAACCTTGTGCCAACATTGCCATGCACCATGACCATAATCTGACCATTTCCAATCTTAGTGATACAAAAGAGCATAAAAACCAAACTGGTAGCTTTCATTTTATTTCAAAAGTTCAAATATTTCTGGTATTGTTACATTTTAGCTTATGTTCAAAGCTAATCCAAATATAACTCTGGTAAGTGGCCTTTGCAATGTTTGTGCCAAAAAGCCCAGATGATGTCTATAGTTCCTTCCTTCTTTAAAAATGTTAAGGTTCTAATCATTTCTCTACGATACAACCCAGATGCTTTGAGAAGGAAACTGCATTAACTTGTTCAGGCCCTTAGATATCCTTTGGCACAATCAGTAACTAACAAAGCCAGACATCCGTTTAATTGCTAAAAGAACCAGTTTGAATGTGTGACAATGATTGTTTTGAGAAAAATAGACACAGTTTAACATGCGCTGTGTACATAGGGCATGGCTGCCTGGGTTGATTCTTTTCAACCAAACAGACTGATTTATTTAACCAATGGCTTGTAATATCTTGAGCATATGGAAATGCTGTTTAATAAGCTTGAGAGTACAAAAATGTGTGTGTGTTCTCAAAGCTAGTAGTTGGAGTTTAGCACTCAAGGATATGGTCCTAATCAATAAAGTCAAATGAACAAACTCTGAAAATATGAAATCTGGGGAGGGGACATGCGTTCTACTTAATTAAATGTGTTGGTTTATAGAGAGTTACATGATGAATTACCAATTTTTGGAAATGCTAAAATTCAATAAAATGTATGAAGAATAGAAAAAACGCTGGACATTATTTTGGATATTAACTGCTTGGGCATTAACTGTGTCATATCTGCTTTGAGAAAAGTATGCATCTATATCTTTGTGTGTTTGAACCCATGTATGTTCTAGATGTCCTCCTTCATGAGTTACAGCAAACTCACGCCTGACCTCATAAGCATGAAGTTATCTTTCAAAATGGTGCCATCTGTCTAATAGTCCTCTCTTGCAATGTTTCAAACTTGCCATTTTAAATAATCTCAGAAGCCCTGCAGAGTCTAAATTGTACTGAAAGTATTGCACCTCTTTTGTAGAACCCAAGTCTATATATATAAATTAAAAAAAAAAAAAAAAAAGCAACTGGTTCCATGATAAATGGTGCTTGACCAGTGATCAAAGTGTTCCTGAATGTGATATACTTGCACGCCTACACACTGCCATTTTTTAATGAGTCTGGAACAAATGGATTTTTCAACAATGTAATAGAACAAGTAACCGAGCTATTAAAATGAAAAACGTATAGGTCCAAATGAAGCGTTTGATTTTTAGTAAGAATTAAACGCATTAAGTATTATAAAGTACTTTAAAGAGTTTTTGTGGCACATTTAACTATCTATTTCAGTTGAAGTTTTAAATTTAATAGAAAATCCTTTCAGAAATCATGAATTTTATTTTAATGTTCTTCCACACCTAAATTTTGGCTTTTAAATTTAATTCCAATATGTAGCTTTCAGCCATTCCATTTATCTATTCTTTTTTAAGAATGAGACTTTTTAGAAAGGCAGTTTGGCACACTGGGATGAATGCCGGGAAGAATTGTCAGGGGCCTGTATTCTATCATTGACTGAAGAAGGTAAATCATCTCTCCTCCTTGGCTTTTCACTTCTTTTATTTTTCAAATCTGTATCATGAGCTATGAGGTCACTCCCAGATCTGAAACCTTTTCTTCTAACTAAGAAAGAAGCTCAAAGAGATTTGAAACTATCTCCAACACAATATTCACCTCTCTTTATGAAGAAAAGCATCTTAACCATAAAAAGTCATTGCTGTTCTTGTTTCTGTTGTAAATAGAGTCCATTAGTAGAAGTGAAGTTCAGTCTCAAGTAGTGTGAATTGAATAACCATTTATACAAGAGATGACTTTTTCCTTTGCTTAAATAAACATATTGGATCACCTCTGAAGAATGAAAAGTAGTAGAACATTTTAGTTAGCAGGAGATACAATAAGATATGTGTAATATTTGGAAACACACCAAGTCAAGCATTCTTATGCCCTCATTTTGTTAAAAGCTAAGAGCAGAGAGATGCAAGATGCTTATAAAGTTTTTGAATGACCAAGGTATTTTAGAATCGATTTGGAAAGCAGTAATCCATAGTTATATTTTAAATTTGGAAAATGTGATAGGAATTTCAAGATAAACCACTTGTATTTGAAACAATATTATTTTGAAGTTGACTTTAAAATACAAACATTCAGATTGAATTTCTGTCCAGTTCACTTGTGTTATTTGGTCACACAACGCATGGTGTTGCTGTTTTCCAATAAAATGCTTTTATGTATCAAGATAAAATAACAGTACATTTATGAAATTAACCAAGTGTCTCAGAAAGAATCCATATTAGAATGGATATTCATAATCCTACAATGTTTGCTAAGCATTGTAATTTTAAAACTGCCATCTTCAACATCATAATCGTTATGATGTTCTAAAAAATAAATTTAAGATAATGAAAAAAGCACGGTCTTTTCAGTTACTTGATTTCTGAGCTGTAAGGCTCACTAAATATAATTTTCCAATCAAAGTATCCTATTCTCAATTCTAAGGATCGACGTGTGATTATAGTGTTCACTTGCCACTCTTGGACTTGGAAAGTATTCAGACATTTAGATGGATGCACAGATATATTGGTAGTTCAGTCATAGATTGGAGTTTGCATATTGTAAATGTATGTCAACACTATTCTAAATAGTTTTATTATGATTGAAATTTAATTAAGTAAGAAAAGGTTGTAAAATGTGATGTGTATGTGTATATACTGTATGTGTACTTTTTAAAATAGTTATATGTCCTGATCCTTTTTTATACAGGTTTGAATTTGAAATTACATTATATATACATATACTTTATTGTTCTAAATAAAGAATTTTATGCACTCTCCTAATTTTGTCCTGTCATTTGGTATCATAATGTCATCACATATGTCCACAACAAGGTTGAGTATTTACTAAGCTAGCATCATGTTTTTCTATGGAAGGTCATTTATCTGGATTTTATAGAAGTATGGACATGGGGTAGGAAATCCATTTAATATATATGTATTGCTCACTAATTAATTTCCTTTTATAACAAATAACTAAGGCTGCCATAACAAAGAACCACAAATTTTATTTTGGGGGGTTTCTAGGTGTGTGTTTATGGGTAACTTTAACAAATAGAAATTTATTTTCTCACAATCAAGGCAGCTAGAAGTTCACATTCATGGTGCCAGTTCTAGGGGAAGGTGTTCTCTGAGGGCTCCAGAGACAGGTCTCTGTATTGGTCCCTTTTGAGCTTTTGACCCTGAGTGGTTTTCATCTGGCATGGAATCTCTGTTGCCCTGGGTCTAGGAGGCATTCAGTGCAGCAACCCCAGTTGCAAAAGGATACACTGTGATCCCAGCTTTACTTTAGATGATACTGAGGTTGCCCTGTATCACTGCTCACTCCTCTTTCCTTTTAAATAATAGGTGATACCAGCCACATCTTAGGGAAACTCTGTTTACATCACATCAGGATTGTGACTTGAGTAAAGTTGTTGCATGTCAGATTGTCCTTACAACTGATGAGCTGATGACATCAGATCACCTTATGGAGGAGGATTATACTATTATTTAATAACCAAACCACTGAAAATCATGTTCCAGATAAGCTGATACATATTTTTATTTCTGTTTTCAGGTGCCATCCAGTTGGTACCTACTTAGCAACCCTATACACAACAGAACAAAACACTGCCCAGTCCTGTGCAACCTCACTGGCTTTAGTGGTTGGTGCATAAATTTGAATAATAGTGGTATTAACTGGGCTTCCCTGTAGGCGCATGGACATTATCCTATCACTTATAGCATTGTACCTCATGACTGATCTGGATATGTTCTTTTTGACAATGAATGCAACATCGTTCGTCTTCAACTTGTCATTCCCTGCATAGTAAACCATGTGGTTGTCAGATTCAAAATGGCCAATATCAGTCCATTTTAGCTCACTAATGCCTAAGATATCGATGTTGATGCGTTCCATTTCATTTTTGACTCCAATTTTCCCAGATTGATACTTCGTACATTCCATGTTCTGATTTTCAATGGATGTTTACAGCTGTTTCTCTTCATTTTGATTTGTGGCCCATCAGCAAATGAAGGTTCTGTGA